CCCTTTGTCCATTGGTGGCTGAATGGATAAACAAGATGTGGGCCAGGGTTACAATGGAATATTATTCAGGCATAAAAGTGAATGAAATCTGACGCAAGTTAAATATGGATGAATCTCAAAGAACTTATGTGAAATAAGCCAGACACAAAAGGACAAATAGCGTATGATTCCACTTATATGGATTATCTGGAGTAGTAAAATTCACAGAGACAGAAAGTAGGATCATTGCCAGGGGCTTGGGAGAAGGGAGAACCGGGAGCTTTTGTTTGATGGGCGTAAGGTTTCAGCTGGGGAAGACGAAAAAGTTCCAGAGATGGATGGTGGTGACGATTGCACAGTGTGAATGTACTTAATAGCACTGAGCCATCTATGTAAAAATAGTTAAAATGATGTGTTTTATGCAATGTATATTTTATTACAATTTTTTTTAAATTAACAAGAGAAAAGATATGGGGAGAGAAATGATTGTGGTGTACATTCAGGAAAAGGTGAATTCATAGGCCTGGCTGAGATTTCAAGTGTGGGTGAGAAACTGACAAGACAGATTTCGTTCAGGTAATAAAACATTTTGTGCCTGGGGAGGTGGGGCTTAACTAGGGTCGGGGGGACAGTAATAGAGAGTTAGTAGAGAAGTGGGGAAAGGCCAGGGTGTTTTAGGAAAGGCTTAGCCTGCAGAGTAGAAAGACCAGAGGTGGAGGCCAACTTCAGTGCTGTGAGATGTGATGGGAGCTGGAACTGCTGTGGAAATGAAGAGGACACAGAAGCATCAAGAGATGGAGTCAAAAGCCGGGCATGGTGGCTCACACCGGTAATCCCAGCACTTTGGGAGGCTGAGGCAGGAGGATCACTTTAGTCCAGGAGTTCAAGACCAGCCTGGGCTACATGGCAAAACCCTGTTTCTACAAAAAATACAAAACTTAGCCATGTGTAGTGACATGCACCTGTGGTCCCAGCTACTCAGGAGGCTGAGGTGGAAGGATCACTTGAGCCAGAGAGGTGGAGGCTGCAGTGAGTCCAGATTGCACCACTGCATTCCAGCCTGGGTGACAGAGGGAGGTCCTATCTCAAAACACACACACAAAAGCTTGCGCAGGCACACACACACACACACACACGCACACACACACACACACACACACACACACACACACACACGAGATGAAGTCAAATAAACAGGACTGCATGCCCATTGATTTGAGCCAGATCAGCTGAGAGCAAATGGGAAACTGAGAATGGGTGGTGTGGGTTGGGTGGCTAAGTGGCCACCAGCCACAAATAAGGATCTTCAGGAAGAAGAATGTGTTCTGTGGGGAAGAAAACAAAATTGGGCCAGGTGTGGTGGCTCATGTCTGTAATCTTAACACTTCCAGAGGCCAAGGTGGGCAGATCGTGAGGTCAGGAAATCAAGACCATCCTGGCTAACACCATGAAACCCCGTCTCTACTAAAAATACAAAAAATTATCTGGGCGTGGCGACATGTGCCTGTAATCCCAGCTACTTGAGAGGCTGAGGCAGGAAAATCGATTGAACATGGGAGACAGAGATTGCAGTGAGCTGAGATCCCACCACTGCACTCCAGCCCAGGTGACAGAGCAAAAGTCTGTCTCAAAAAAAGAGAAAAAATTGATTTGAGACCTATTTAATAATATGTACATGTATTTAGTGCCCTGTGATATATAATGCCTCTTATTTGTATCACTTTATTTTGTTTGTGTTGTTCTTGTCTCTAAGTTAGATTTTTGGGCCCATAGAGCTGGTGCATTTGTTCATTTATTCATTCAATGAGCATTTATTGAGCACACTGTCTTTGTTTGTCTAACACTTATGCAATCCTTAACTGCACTCCAGCCCTGTACCAAGAAAAGGCAGTTATCTGGGCATGGAATTCAGGTCTTTTTCACTAGGTAATGGCTTCCCCCACCTAAAGACAGAAAGCAAAGTGTATACCATGGCTCTCTCTATGCTTGAATCTTAATTAAATTCTCACAACAACCCGGAGTGATCAGTACTACTGTTTTTAGGGGAGCAATGAGAGGGTGGGATTGCAAAAAGACAAGGAGATGCTTTTGAGAATGTTGGATATGTTTATGATGACTGTGATCATCGTTTAACAGGTATATGCATAGGTTAAATCTGACCAAATGGAACATTTTAACTTGTGCAGTTCATTGCACGGTAAGTATACCTCATTAAAGCTGCTTTATAAAAGTATTGGTTGACAACAACAAAGTAGCTTTTGGTGCGGTATCATTTGCTGAGGAGAAATCAGTGAATTTAGTTTTGTAAAACAGAAATCTGTCATCATTTTTTTTCTTTCTCTTTTCTTTTTTTTGGGGGGTGGCAGGGGGACAGGGTCTCACTCTGTTGCCAAGGCTAGAGTGCAGTGCTGAGATCACAGCTCACTGCAGCCTCAACCTCCTGGGCCCAAGTGATCCTCCCACCTCAGCCTTCTGAGTAGCTGAGGCCACAGGCACCTGCCATCACACCTGGTTAATTGAAACAAACAAACAAAAATTTCTTTCGGTAGAGATGGGGTTTCTTCATGGTGCCCAGGTTGATCTGGAACTCCTGGGTTGAAAAGGGCTGCCCACTTCGGCCTCCCCAGAGTGCTGGGATTACAGGTGAGAGCCACCGAACCCAGCCCATATTCTTTTCACTTCAGCCTCTGTTTCCCTACCAACTTTTTTTTCTTTGGTGGCTACTTTTTCTCCTGATCTCCAGAATTTCTTTGGTTCAAATAGAGCTGGGTTTTTGTTTGTTGTTTCAGGCATAAGTTTAATTTCCATATGGTCGAAATCACCCTTTTAAGTGGATAGTTCTGTATATAAACACCATCACCATCAAGATAGAGGACATTTCCATCATACCCCAAATTCCCTTATACCCCTTTGGAGTTAATCCCCAGTTCTTGGCAATTACTGATGGATTTTCTATCCCTACGGTTTTGGCTTTTCCAGAACATCATATAAATGGAGTCTGCTTCTTTCATGTGGCACAAGGTTTCTCACCCTGGCGCTATTGAGATTTTGGGCTAGATCATTCTTTCCTGTGCACTATAGAATATTTAGCAGCATCTCTGGTATCCACCCACTAGATTCCAGTAACACCTCTCTCCTTAGCGGTCGCAACCACAAATGTCTTTAGGTCCTCCAGGCCAAACCACTCCTGACTGAGGACCACTGACCTAGCTAATGCATTTGAGAGCATCCACATTGGTGAGTGTACTCAGTTTCATCCTTTTTACTTACACAATCCTTTTTACCAAAACAATCACAGGTACCCCATATCTGCAAAATACTATAATTCAAAGTAAGCCCCAAAGAACCAAATAGACACAGACCAAAAGCACGGTTGGAACAGGTTCCTCTGGTGTGAGGAATACACAGGTAAGAAGACGGTAGGTTCGTTTGCCTCTGAGATCGATTCTTCCCCAGATGGAACTTGAATGATGGAGTTAACTGATCTCTCAATCCAAGTAGAAAGCAGCGGTCAAACTATTTCCTGCTACTGAGCTTCCCTTAAAGTATCCACACTCAACCACACTCCAGGGCCAACAACTGAAAACTTGGCAGAATGTGGATGACCACTGATATGGGTTGGCTGTGTCCCCACCCAAATCTCATCTTGAATTGTAGCTCCCATAATTCCCATGTGTTGTGGGAGGTGCCCCATGGGAGATAATTGAATCATGAGGGCAGTTTTCCCCATACTGATCTCGTGATAGTGAATAAGTCTCAGGAGATTTGATGGTTTCATAAGGGGTTTCCCCTTTTGCGTGACTCTCATTCTCTTTTGCATGCTGCTGTGTAAGACGTCCCTTTGCTCTTCCTTGATCTTTTGCCATGATTGTGAAGCCTCCCCAGCCATGTGGAACTGTGAGCCCATTAAACCGCTTTCCTTTATAAATTATCCAGTCTCGAGTATGTCTTTTTTTTTTTTTCTTGAAATGGGGTCTTGCTCTGTCACGAGGCTGAAGTGCAATGGTACAATCCTGGCTCGCTACAACTTCTGCCTCCCGAGTTCAAGCGATTCTCTTGCCTCAACATCCTGAGTAGCTGGGCTAGAGATGTGGGCCAGACTGGGACTATAGCTGCGTGCCACCATGCCCGGCTAATTTTTTTTTTTTTTTCCTGAAACAGAGTTTCTCTCTTGTTGCCCAGGCTGGAGTGCAATGGCACAATTTCAAGTCACCACAACCTCTGCCTCCTGGGTTCAAGCGATTCTTCTGCCTCAGCCTCCCAAGTATCTGGGATTACAGGGCCCACCACCAATCCTGGCTAATTTGTTTGTATTTTTAGTAGAGACAGGGTTTCTCCATATTGATCAGGCTAGTTTTGAACTCCTGACCTCAGGTAATCCACCCACCTCGGCCTCCCAAAGTGCTGTAATTACAGGCATGGGCTATCATGTCCAGCCTCAGATATGTCTTTATCAGCAGTGTGAGAACAGACTAATACAACCATGAAGGGCAACGCACTCACTGGTGGGCAGGATGAGCTTTTCAGTCACTCTCTTGCTGTTGGTTGTATAAAGCATGGATTATAATAGTGCAACTATGAGGGAGTGCTAGGAAGTGAAGAAAAAAGCAAGCGACAGGGGTGGACACAGCCATCGCACCAATCTGGGGTTTCCCCTGTTGGCTTGTTGGGTCATTTGTGCATACTTCATGTTGTCTGTCCACTAACCGGCCTGCACCCACTTAACTGTGAGTGACCACACATCTGCCCTGGGCCGTGAGCAGCCGCCAATGCATGGGATGAGGTAGGGTTTTCTTCAGGGAAATGTTCTCCAAACTTCTGGAGGAGGTGGTAAGCTAAAAACCCCATGCACTTGGCCAGACAGTGCATTTGGGATTTGTGCTGATTGCATGGGGGCCTTGAAGTTTTGACTTGGAACAGAAACTCTTAGGGAAAGCTTGAGAGGAATTGCCCTTTCCACTTTCTTTTTGGGAAACACTGTTTACAATAATAACAACAATCACATGATTTACAAAGCTGCATTTATTGACTGGCTGAGTAAATAAGCGAATAAATTTAGCACACAGCTGGCCCAAAGCAAAACTGGGAAAGAGATAAAGCGGGTCCTGAGCGCTTCCAGACTATTTTCAGGAGCCCTTTTCTTGTGTTTTAATGAACTTAAATATTTATTAAGTAATGACCATGCTGCAGGCCCTCTGCCAGGTAGCAAGAGTTCAGGGATGTCAAACATTCTTCCCCCGCGTGGCGCTCAAAGACGTGTCCTTTGATGCTGTTCGATGAACCAGCAGGTGAGGCACAGGGGCAGCCCATGCTCCTTTCATGGTGCTCTGCCTTCTCCTGTCACGTGGGTGAGACCTTTCAACTCTCAGTCGCCAGATCCCAGACCAATTCATACAACAAACATTGCACGTCAGACACTGTTCTAGGCATTGGGTAGAAAGCAGTGGACAAAAAAAAAAAAAAAAAAAAGAATACAAATTACTGCCCTGGTGAGGGGCCCATGATACAAAAGCAAATAAGTAAATTATACAGTAGCTCATGTGGAGACGCACAAGGTGAACCATGAGAGTAGGAAGCCAGGGACTGGGCTGCAGTTTTCACTAGGACAGTCAGGGAAGGCCTCGCATTTGCACAAATACCCAAAAGACCGTAAAGCCCATACATCTTTAGAAAGAACATTCCAAGTAGAGAAATCAGCAAATGTCAAGGTCCTGTGGTCGAAGCAGAATGTTTGCGGGCAGTGGAGAGACCTTGGAGGGGAGCAGAGAGGCCTACGAAATCTAGTTATGGGGTGCTGGATGTGGAGACCTGCAGACCATGGCGGGGACAGTGATTTCCTTCTGTGTGTGACAGTGGCTTCATTCCATGTGTGATGGGATGCCGCTGGAACCTTTTGCACAGAGAAATGACGAAATGTCACAGAGGTTAATAGCCATGCCCTCTGGCTGCTGCCTTGAGAATAACCTATGGGGGACAAAGCAAGATGACATTAGGATGCTCTTGAAGCAATTCAGGTGGGATAGGTGGTGGCTTTGACCAGGGAAAGGGGTGAGAAATGATTGGATTTTACATATAGTTTTAGAAAGAGCCATTGGATTCATTGACAAATCAATAGATCTGTGGGAAAGAAAGGGAAGAATCAACATAATGAGGCTTTTATCTGGGCAACCGGGAAAGATAGAATTTCCACTTCCTGAGCTAGAGAAGACTATGGGACAAGGTTAGAGTGAAGAATCAGGAGTTTCTTTCTTTTTAGTTTTCATTATTTTTAGAACTTAGAGACATGGTCTCTTTCTGTCACCCGGGCTGGAGGGCAGTAATGTAACCACTGCTCACTGCAGCCTCAACCTTCTGGGCTCAAGTGATCCTCCCACTTCAGCTTCCCAAGTAGCTAGGACTACAGGCATGAACCACCATGGCTGGCTGTGTATTTTTTTGTAGAGATAGGGCTTTGCTATGATGTCCAGGCTGGTTTCCAACTCCTGGCCTCAAGTGATCTTTCTGCCTTGGCCTCCCAAACCTTAGGATTACAGGTATGCACCATTATGCTCACCCTGGAGTTTCATTTTTGGACACATGAAGGTTGTGATGCCTATTAGTGCCAGGTTGTCACACTGAGTGGACAGCTGGCATAAGAGTCCACAGTTCAGAGGAAAGGTCTGGGTGCAGATAGGGAATGGAAAGTCTTTGGAGGCACAGAGATAGCCAGAACATGGATAAGATCTCAAAGGAGGGAAATGTGAACAGAGGAAAGACGAGCTCTTGGACTCAACACTGGAAAATGCCAACATCTGGAGTTTGAGGAGACTGAGAGAGAGCATTCAAGGATATAAGAAGAAGAAACCAAGAACACCTGAGTTTTCTTGGAATTCAAGAGAAGAAAGGGATTCAAGGAGGAGGGAGTGAGGGATGATGTTAAATGCTATTGATGGGTCAAGTAAGATGACATCTAAAAACTGGCCATTGGGTTTAGCATCATTAAAATCACTGAGGACCTTGACAAGAGTAATTTGTGAAGTGGTGAGGACAAATACCTGCATGGAATAAGTTCAAGAGAGAAGGGGAGGAGAAGAGCAGGGAAGGCCATGAATGAGAGATAGGCAACAGTTGAGAGAAGTTCTGCTGTGAACAGAAGCAGAAGAAATGTACGGAAAGAGAGTTGTGTTTAAAAAATGGCAGAAGTTCCCGCATGTTCCAGCACTGCTGAGAGTCCTTGGAAGAGAAACAGAGATGATGCAGGAGTTGAATTTGTGAAGGCTTCACTTTAAGGCTATGCAATGAGGTAATGTAAAACGATTATGTAGATTAGGTTGCAACATGGAGATACTTATGGTACAATGTCCCGCAGTAATACACACACACAGAACAAACAAAATGAAATGCACATATAAATGGAAGCATGTAAAATTATACAAGCACTTGACCAAATAATCAAGGGAAACATGGCGTAATAATAGTTGCTCTGGAAAGCGGTGATGATGAGTATTTATTTCTCCTTCAATTCCTAATCATTCTGTAATATTGTTTTCTTAATATTATAAAATGTTTTCTAAATAAAATTGCATTGACATTTGCAGCCTTGTACTGTATGGACATGGTCATGAGAAGAAAGACTTTGTGCAGGTGAAATTTATAATGGATTCTTAAATTGATCTCTCTGATTTGTTCATTCATTCTGCAAGTGTTTACTGAGCACCTACTATACACAGACACCAGGGATAAAGTGGTGAACAAGGCAGCTGAAGGCCCAGCTATTGAAAACAGACCTGGTTTTCTGAGAACATGAGGCAGCCTCATCAGACTTAAAGGACAGTGAGTGGGAGAGCCAAGAGGACATTCATTTCCTAGAAACAGCATTCCTCATTTCCTGCAGCTCTGCTACTCACATTTGCCCTTCAAGTACAGTAAGCCTTGAACCAGAATTAGAGAATCACCACCCATCACCTCTAGGGACCATTCATTTGCAATGGCTAATCTCTGCCTTCCCCAACCTCTCCCTTTTCTCCAACTCCATACTGCTGGTAACATTCTACGGGGTTGGCCTGGCTTGGTTATGAGTCGTGCACTGGCTGTCACCCACACTCCCATCTACAATGCAGCTTTGTGTGCACAAGGAAAATTCCTTTCCTAAGGCTGTGCCCAGTGCCAAAGTTTGTGTTCTCAACAGCAATGCTCAAATGCCTCCAGATTCCAGGTGATAACACCTCCAGGGGCTATCCTCTAGTATGCCGCCACTACTAATAACAATAGCAGTCTTCGGAAAGCAATATGGAAGCATGAAACAGCACACTGCTTATGATTATTTTTAGACAGTCCCTAAACTGAAATGTAGGGGCAACTCACCAGAAGATAGTACTCTTTGGTACTCAAAGATATAAGAAGGCTTAGAAGTAACAGTTTATTCAATCTTTCTAGGGCAATAAGAAATAGCACCAAGACAAGAATAAAATGCTGTTCATATAGGTTAAAAGACAACATGGTAGGGGAAGGATATGGACTTTGGTATTAAACAGACCTAACTTAACATCTTGATCTTACTGCTTCTTTGCTGTGCAAGCTAGAGCCAGTCACAGAAATATGCACCTCAATTTTCTCACCTGTAAATGAGAATCAGGCCTACTTGCAGGGTTTTCATCAGAAGTAAAGAATTAAGTATAAAGTATGCGACACATCAAAGGTGCTTAATCAGTGACCGTTTTGATCATTTCTTGTCCACTCTGGCAGAGGTTGTGGTAGTGATGACTGAGCACATATTTGTGTGCATATATGTATGCATGCATGCATGTGTTTGAGTGTGTGGTCCCAGCTCGAACCCATCAGGGATTTATCCATGTATGACTGGACGTGTCTGGTAAAGGGGAGATGAACATCCAGGAGTGGATTTGCAGGGAGCGTGCTGGTGGAAGGAGGATGTGGGAATGGTTTGGTCAGATGCTCCCAGATGGGGGAATAGGGAGTCAGCCTTGGACAGTGCTCCTTGACCTGGTCTCAGAGATAGTGTCCAAGTAGGGGCTGTAGGAAGGAGCTAAATGAATTATTTTTATAAGGGACTGTGATAAAAAGAATGGCAGAGTGGAAAAGGCATCTCTCTCCTTCTGAGTGGGATAATGAGGTGCAATCTCAAGGAAGATGTGGGAGCGTTGAGTACCTTGTTGGCACATCAGTGGTTTCAGCCTCAGGGTGGCAGAAGACAGCAGCCTGGGCAGAGCAGCATTCTCAGGGTGGTAGACACCCTTCTCAATGGCTTTTGGATGTCAACCTCAAAGGTTTTTCTTGTGCTTGTAAGAAATATTCACAGTGATACACAGAAATTACCAATGGAACTGTGTGGGAAACAAAGAGTCTTACTTGATCAAGCTGGGGTAATATTTGGGTTATGAGGGTGAATGTGCTCCACGGGCTAGTCCTGGGCCTCTCTGCCCCAGATCCATTCCTTGAATTGCCCCTACTCTGTATTACAGGAGGTTACCCTTGCAGGCTGTGTTTCAGAGGCTCCTAGAGTAGTGGGTTCTGGCCAGGTGTAGCCCATAGAAGGTACTGACAGGAGATGAGAGGTTGGAAAGAAGGAAGAAGTCAGGCTTCTTCTCTCACTCCCTCTCAGTCTTGGGTAGCTTCTTCCTCCATGGCTCTGTCTTAGCTCCCATCAGACAGGTCCATTATGGCTGCAGCTTGTGCCATGTCACCCTGGTCCCTGGGCTCTACTAGTTGGTGTCTTCTATTTGCCTCTCCAATCTCGGGGAAGTAGTGACCTCCTGCCATTGCTCATCCTGGGCTATCACACTGTCCCCTTTGGCCCTCTGCCCATCCGTCACTGCATTCCCTCTGTTGTAAAACCTGGAAATGGTGACCGTTTTTCCATTTAGGCTCTGTAGACATACTAACATCTTTCCCATAGGCTGGGGAGGCCTGGGGAGTCTCAGGTCATATATATTTGGTCATATATATTTTGAGCTGTCAAGTGACTGCAGCCAGAAGAATGACACCCCAGGTGAGGTGAACAGAAGAACCTCCCAGCTGAGCCCAAACCTAATCACTGACCCACAGAACCTTGAGCATATAAAATGGGTGTTTTCAGCCACATAGTTTAGAAGCAGTTAGTTATGCTGCAAAAGATAATTTACAGAATTCCCTTTCTACTTTCTCTCCTTTTCTACAAGCTATCAGTACTTTCCTCATACTAACCAACCCTTCTAAAAGACAGTGCCCTCTGCCCCTCCCCTCTCACAGGCACCTCAACTGACCTTTCACCAAAGAAAAACTTACCCTCCACTCAGAGCATGGGTTCCATCAGCAAAGACCCAATGACTGTCCCTGTACTGCTTCCTCTGAAGAGTTAAGACTTGACTTCATTGCATGTAAATTTAAAAAAAAATTTTTTTTTGAAAAAAATGTGGTTTTGCTTCCAAATTATGTTCCAAAGCTCTCTGGCTCACCAAGGAGTAATCCTCGGTTGGAAAACATAGCAGCGCTGCTATTTTAGAACGGCACCAGGCCTCTAGCTTCTTGATTCACCCAGGGCTGCTAATACTTCCTCAGGGAAAACTAAAACAACTGCTTAAGATATAGGGACTTATTCCTAAAGGGGACTTCAGAAGAGAGAGGCCCTCTCCCTTATGTCCATTCTTCCCCTTTCTACCCAACCCTGTGCTCCCCAGCCAAAGATGGGTCTTCTTCCTCCTGAGCAACCGAACTTCTAACCTGCTTAAGTGGAGGCCCATCTGTCATCCGTGACCCCGTGGCCTCCCCCACACTCGTCCTACTTGTTCTCTGATGAAGGCTGAGCCTAAGCCTATGTAACACTCCAAAAATGCACGGCTGGCTGACCAAACATTAACAAGAGAGACAGCTATGAAAAAAACAATATGCCTGTTTGCTCAGCCTCCCTTTCTGCCGGCAGACTAACTCTGGAAACTTTCCCACTCTCTGAGGGAAGAGGTGCTTGCTAATCCGGCCAAGTGTCAAAATGGATGGTGTTTGAACAGCTTCCTCCGGCGAGAGTTGTTTTTCAGATGGTCCCTCGGCAGAAACTCTTGTGGGTTCTGTGCAGGAAACTTCTCCTCTGGACCCTGTAAAGGGCACAGATAGGGGAGGGGTCACTTCCTAAGGTAATAATTGCCTTATATCAGGCACTGCTCTTCCCCAAGAGATTAGCTGGGGCAAAGGTCACTCTTGATACACAGGGGCTGGGCTGAGGAGGCTGCCTTGGGCACTGGAGGCGACTCATCTGCAATGAGGAAAGGCACTGGGATTTGAGAGTAGAATCAACAGATTCAGAGGCCAAGCCGTGGCATGGATGCCAGCTGTGACCACCTCTCTGGAAATGCATTCAGGATCCAAGACACCTAGGCCTCACCAAGGTGGATCAAAGAATTCTCATAACAGGAACAGGCCTGGCATGGTTTGCTTCTCCCCGGCCACCTACAAGCTCCAGGAGTATTCCCTCCTGGTCCCCCTTCTCCAGGGAAAGCTTCCTGTCACATTCCCGGGGACATCAGTCCCTATAATCTGTTTATCCATTTAGTCTCTCCCTCCTTTGGGCTCCACTGTACCAGGCACATTCTCCCGTCTTGTACTTCTGCACGTGATGACACTTATGTGTACAGGTTTATCTCTTGCTGAGGAACTCTGGCCTCCTACAGAGAAGGGACACATCTTACTTATTCAATATCCCCTGAGAACCAACGCAATGTGTGTACTTAGTGGGCACTGAGGAAATGCTTCCTGTGTGGGTGAACAATCCTCATTTTCCATTTAACTCAGAGCAGGTAAGAGTGTGCAAGGTTAGCCAGGCGTGGTGGCTCACGCCTGTAATCCCAGCACTTTGGGAGGCTGAGGCACATGGATCATTAGGTCAGGAGTCCGAGACCAGACTGGCCAGCATGGTGAAACCCCATCTCTACTAAAAATACAAAAATTAGCCAAGTGTGGTGACAGATACCTGTAATCCCAGCTACGTGGAAGGCTAAGGCAGGAGAATCACTTGAAACTGGAAGTCAGAGGTTGCAGTGAGCCAAGATCAGGTTACTCCACTCCAGCCTGGGCAAAAGAGCAAAACTCCGTCTCAAAAGAAAAAAAAAAAGTGTAAGGTTACCTAGCAGATGGTTGCCCGAGCCTGGGTTTGGACTCAAGTTTGTATTAGTCTAAAGCTTGTGTCAGCTCCACCCCTCCACCTTTCCGCTCCAGTTACTCAGCCCTCCCTACATACGCACACACACACAGACCACAGAAGAGTGTGGATGAAATCATATAGCGTGTCAGAGACAGAGATGACCTAAGACATTATGGAAACCAACTCATTTATTTAACGAAGGAGGAAACTGAGGCCAAAGAAATTCAATTTGGGTAAAAGTGATGTGCTCTGGGCTTTGGGCCTACTCGAAAACTGGATCTAGGGCTATTCCTGTTGATAATTATATTTGATTTTGTTATTATTATTTTTTGAGACCGAGTTTCACTCTGTAGCCCAGGCTGGAATGCAGTGGCACCATCTCGGCTCACTGCAAAACTTCCACCTCCCTGGTGGAAGAGGTTCAAGTGATTCTCCTGCTTCAGGCTCCTGAGTAGCTGGGATTACAGGGGCCTGCCACCATGCCTGGCTAATTTTTTTGGTAGAGACGGGGTTTCACCATGTTGGCCAGGCTGGTCTTGAACTCCTGACCTCAGGTGATTCACCCACTTTGTCCTCCCAAAGCGCTAGTATTGCAAGCCTGACCCATCACACCCGGCCTCATATTTTGATTTAATTTAACCCACAACTGTACAGAAGATATGTAGCTGAGTGAGTGATTCCCAGCCTAGCTGGGTGATAAATACAGACATATCTAAATACAAGGCAGAATGTGAGAGAGTCAAAGTGGCATAGGCCTTAGAGGAGGGAGAAGTCCCATCTGACTTAGTAAACTCAAGAAAGATTTCTCATAGGAGATGATACTGAGATAAGCCTTGGAAAAGGGCTGGATGATAGGAAATTCAGGCAGGGGCAGAGCAGGGCAATGGCATGCAGGTGGGAAAGTACGGGCTGTGCATCAGGGGAACGAGACCAAGCATGGTCCTTACCTGAAGGTGCAGGACTGGAGACGAGGCTGCAGGGTGGGCTGGGGTGTGCTGGGGAGTGATGAGAGCAGAGCTGCATACCTGGAGCTTTAACAGAACAGTAAGAGAAAGAAGAACAGCTAAGTGATTTGGACCCAATGAGAACAGAGTTCTTTAAACTTCAAGAGAGAGGAAGGGGGTGTAAAGTCTGACAGCACCATGAATGGCACAGTTACCTCTGTGACCTGCACTTACACCCCAGATGAGTTCCTGGAAGAAATGATCAACCCCTGTGGTGCCTAATTAACGTGAGACATTCTTCTATTGTTTCTTATTCCGGCCTCAACTGACAAGGCCATTGGACTTTGTTACGACCTTGGCCAACCTCATGACTCCACACCCTACGGCCCCCTCCCAGCTTGCAAACCTATGACCCCCTCCCAGCTTGCAAAAAATTGCCCTAAACTGTAACTTCTGTAACTTTCTACTGCCTTCCCTACAACCTATAAAACCAACTCCTATCCCTTCCCCCTCCGCTGACTCTCTTTTTGGACTCAGCCTGCCCCCACCCGAGTGAATAAGCAGCCTTGTTGCTCACACAAAGCCTGTGTGGGGAGCGGGGGGGGGGGTCTCTTCATTCAGAGAGCTTTTTAACAGGGGGATCCCATTTTAAGGCAGTAACATGCTTTTTCTTGTGGTTCCCACTTTCCCTGTTTCTCCCTTGATATCCATCTGGTTATAGTGAGAGGAATGGGGACATGCTGGGGAGAGGGGAAACTGTGTGGGCAGATTCAACTTGAGGAATCCCAAGAGAGACCCATGCAATGCTTAGCTTCGGTCATTCAAAATAAGGTTATACAGAAAGTTACTGCCTGAGGAGCCAGACCATTGTTCTGAGAAGGGATTTTTCAAATTATTCTTCCTCTTTTCTTGGTATTTCAAGATGAATCCTAAAGCACCGAACTCGGGATTTCCAAAATACACAACTCAGGACCAAAGCTAGTCACTGAGGCCTCAGGGCTCAACGAAGAACTGTGGAGAGCAAGAAGTCAAGGGAAAGCCCCCCATGCTCTTTCTGTACCTGGGAATCTTTAAAAAGGAGAAGGAAGTGGACTGGCTGAGAATAGCCAAGCCATCAACAGAGTTGATGGAAGACCTGGCTTTCCCATCTTTTGGTCCACAGAGGGACAGTGTTAGAGGCATGAATGCCATTCTTCAGGGCTCTGAGAGGAAGCCACTTCATGAGCTGCCCCCTAAGAACCCAGTCTGCAGCCCCAGAAAAAAGCTCTGTGGTCAGCCTGGGGGCTTCTTCCCAGGGCTCCCCTCAGTCCCACAAGGCATAGATGCTGAGTTGAGAACCAGCGGACCCACCAAGGGGCTTGCTGTTACGAGACACACCCAAGGGCTGGACCTTCCGATGAACAGACTGGAGAGCCATTGGGGGGTATGGGGAGAGCTCTGCGGCTGCAGTCCACCCGAGGCACTGCCTGGGCTGGAATAACGGGCCACACGTTCAGTACTGGAGGCCAGGAGATCCAGCATGACCCAGGCCGCCTCCCCAGAGGACAAAAGCACGTCTCCCCAAACACCAGCAGACAGCAGCTGGTACACATCCAGGGACCTTCATGGGACCAAGGAACCCACTTCCCTGCTTCCATGGCGGAGAAAGCCCCCTCGTCCCTATACCCCTGCCTCTGCAGTGAGGGACAGAGCAAGGGGCAGCTCTCAGAGACACAGAGCAAAGCTTTTTCTAAAGACCCAGCACTATCTGTAGGGTTTGAAATGTGAGCTCACAGTTTAACTGGATTGGACATTTCATGTATCCTCCCATCCCACTAACTAGTGGGTGAGGCTCAGAGGAGAGACACCAGATTAGTTCCAAGCAAAATAGCGATCCTCAGTTTTCGCCTCGCATCCTAGGTGCGGTAGGAGATATATTTGTACACTCTGAGTCCTGGGAGCCCCAAGGCCAGCCTGGGGAGGGCCCTGCTGCGGCGGCGGGGTGGGCTCTGCAGCTCCGCCTCCCGAGCGGGGCTCACTGTGGCAGAGTCCCAGAGGGCCTGTGGCGAGGGGCCTGAGCTAGTCCTGGGGTCTCCGTTTCACCAGGGCTAGGTGGGGGCTGGCCAGGATGGAGGAGAGATTCAGGAGGAGGGCGGGAGGCTGTCCCCAGTGCCTGAGGCCTGCCTGGATGGTCCGGAAGGCACGTTCACCCAGGCCCAGAGGCCGGGTTTCCCTGGCAGGGAGGAGGTCCCCAGGGACGCCCCTTCCCGGGGGAAGCCTCAGTTCCCATCACCTCAGCCCTGAGGCTGAGAGCCAAGCAGGCTGGATTTGTGCAAGGCACTGCTGCCCCCTCCTGGGAGGTGCCCCACAGGTCCTGCTTGCCTGGAACAGCCTCGCTGTCACCCTCACGGTGAATCCCTCGAGGTCGGACTCTGCCAGGGCGCCCCTAGCCTGCATCTGCAAGTAAATTCACTCAGGCCCATCCCCTCTCTTTGTAAAATCACTCAGGCCCAACCCGTCTCTCTGTAAAATCACTAGGCCCATCCCTTCTCTGCGTAAAATCACTCAGGCCCATCCCCTCTCTTTGTAAAGTCACTCAGGCCCATCTGCTCCCCTGGGACTGCACCCCGCAAGTCTTCTCCGGCCAGATCTGCAGTCTTTGTCCTTTACACAGCTGGCTTGGTGACTAAGGGTTACCTCTGTAGGCTTAGACAGGGTTGAAGGTCCTGGTTCCACTGGTGCTGGCCGGTTCCTTAACCTCATGGAGCCTCAGGTGCTCACTGGTGAAATAAGTAGGACCTCACAGGTTGCCACATCTTGGCACTGGGTACCTGGCCATGCTGAGTCTCAGTAAACGGGAGCCACGATTCTCTTTCCTTCTGGCCTCATTGAATTCTCTGCCCTCTGTCCATGCAAGCTCAGGTTGGAGACTTTCCTCACCAATTTTCCGTTTATGCCTGCTGGGCAGCTGGGCTTTCCCGCACCGCAGTGGGCAATTTTCCACACTCTGGGCACATGGCAAAGACCTGGGGCCAGCTGGGGTTCCTGCCATGGACATCAAGCCTGCGTTTGCCTTCCTGGGTCTCTTGCCCTCCATTCCCTTCCACCTAACTTTCCTCCACTTTTCATCTCCGTATTAGCTCTGGCTACTTCGGAATTCTCCCCCACCTTCACACAAGCTTTCTTCGTGACCCCAAGTTCTAATTACTTCCCCCCACCCCTGCCCCTGCCCCCAACCAGACTCTGCCTTCCAGCCCCATCATAGCCTCCAGCCAGCAGGGGCCAAGGTCCCTGATGACCTCTTTACCCCTCAGCCCAATGCTCATGTAGTTGATTTTTTTGGATGGTTCTGCAGCATTTAGTGCTTTTTTTTTTTTTTT